GGCGGGTAACTTTACCAAGCTGTTTTGGTTATGATTTTTCACGATTTCTTGAAAAGATGGATATTTGGTTTTTCTTGTTCTTGTAATTAGATTAATATATTGAAATCCCGATTAACCATAAACATATTTAAAGCTTCTGTTTGACGTTACTGAAGTAATAAATACGCAGTATCCTCCGCACTCAAGGTAGTACAGAGAGGCTAGTATACTCCCGAATCCCAAGATGTAAATAGTTTACGAATACAGACCTTGTCTAATTTTGTTACTGTTATACTTCCACCAATATTTCCACACTTTCAAAGAATTGTGCAGATTCCAGTTTCTGTTCACCAATTTTAAATTCATACACAAATCGTAATTAATGAGATGACCCATAAGTAATCTGCTTTTACTCTTCTGCTTTGCAGCTTTGATAGGTCACCCATTACCCCTGTATACTCCCTATCGACCAACAACTCCAACGTTAACATCTGAGATTCGCGCAGCCTCATCAAGCACAACGGATCATGCTCCGAGTTTGACAAACAAAACAAATACAAACCGGGAAATTCCCTTGGAGAAAGAATCAATCCAAGTGTCAGTTCCAACCCCAGATGTGACTCTAAAAGCAGAAGAGTGTGGTCTGCACCACCAGTCATCATCGATGGTGAAAAATATTAAGAAGTTGGTTACCGGTGACACGAGTTCATCTGGCAGTGGGAGCAGTAAAGTTTCACTTGCTTTTGCCGGTAAACAATTCACTATTGGCGGAAAGCAATCTGCTCCCGGAGAAAAATCTCCCAGCTCCACTTCCAGCACCAGCACCATTTCGAGTTTGGTAATTGGAAGGCGACGACCATTGAGTAGCCGATTGTCCCCGAGTAGCAGACCAGATTCCATGTCAGCTACTGATAGTGCGAAAGTGAAAGACCCTATTGATTTAGATGACTACACCTACATTGACACAGATCCTTCAGGTGAGAGAAATCACTAAATGAAGCTTAGGGTGGTGTATTGTTTTCGATAAACTACTATTCGATACATTAACTTACTTTTCGTTTTTCCTGCCTAGTTATATCTGGCATATCTTCTTTTCTCGTACGCATCTTCTTTTTGGTGGAACTGAATGTTTATTCGTTACTTTTTTAATTTGCGTGATTTAACCACAATCATGAGAGTAATTTGAAACGCAAGTAACTTTCAAACCATGTAACTTCACACGAGTGACAGAAACAATGTTTTCTTTTTACAGATGGTTCAAATTCGTGATGGAAAACCAGTGCAAAATATCCAGCCAATTCCATCCCAAACAGAGATACTTGTTCTTTGCTTTTGATACAGATACTTCTCAGACATTCAGAAGCAATCAGTCAAATTTTCTCACTATTTCATCACGTGACAGAAAACGCTGGTGATTTGTGCAT